TTAAGTGTGACAAAAAACTGACATAGATGGAGATTTTTCCTGACATACAAGACATTAATTATAAAATGCATACATATAAAACTTAAAAGGGAGAGTTATTTTAAGAACCTCCATATGTGGCCGGGCACAGTGGCTCATGCCTGTAATCCTAGCACTCTGGGAGGCCGAGGCAGGCGGATTGCTTGAGGTCAGGAATTCGAAACCAACCTGAGCAAGAGCGAGACCCCGTCTCTACATAAAAATAGAAAGAAATTAATTGGCCAACAATACATATAGAAAAAATTAGCCGGGCATGGTGGTGCATGCCTGTAGTCCGCCATTCGGGAGGCTGGAGGCAGTAGGATTGCTTGAGCCCAGGAGTTTGAGGTTGCTGTGAGCTAGGCTGACGCCATGGCACTCACTCAAGCCTGGGCAACAAAGGGAGACTGTGTCTCAAAAAAAAAAAAAAAACAACAAAAAACACCAAAAAACAAAAAAAACCTCCATATGTGAAATTGACCACGAAATTTCATAGTAATATGAAAAATGAGAATGATACTTCCACTCCAATTTACTACAAACTAAATTTAAAAATAAACTCACAAAATTTCCCTCTTGACCTGTGTTCTGAATTTTTTAGCCCTATGTAGTGAAAAAAAAATGACTTCTGAATAAAATTTATGAAATTGAATAAAATAAGAATTGAAAAAAAAAACAATAACCTCTCAGACTGCCAAGTATTTCCAAATGACTGAGAACTTCATTATCCTAGTAAGGAAAAAAATAACCTTAAGCTCAGTCATTGAAATTTAGTCACTGAATTGGCAAAATACATTATTACGTAAGAAATAGCTTTAGTCAACAAAGGAAACTAACAGGAATGATAGTCATCAGAATCCAAGAAAAATTTCTAAGTATTACTGTATTATAGTGTTGATGTTTACATTTACAGAAAAACTTGAAGGAAAAGATTTTAGTTTTTACTTTTTTTTTTTTTCTGTACTATACTTCTTACTATCATTTAGAACTCATTCATTTATTTTATCTGCAATTTTCTGTGATTACAAGCCCTTATAATAGAGACAGGGTGTGCTGTGTGGGGAGGGGCAGGCGTCTAGTCCTGGTGTGGGCAAGGCAAAGGCATTACACGTAACCAAAATGTTTGTACCCACATAATATTCTGGGAAAAAAAGAATGTTGGGGGAAATGAAAAAAAAAGAATGAATTTATAAATCCTTTGAATTTGAAATTATAAAACACCAAGTAAATAAATTATTCTGTAGAATATTTAAGTTTATTGTATCCATATAAGCATCCAAATAGCATGTACTAAAAAAAAAATTCTGCTCATCTTATTTCTAGACTAGATAGGATATCATTTGGTTATTGAATTATATGGTTGATTTGATCAATGGCATAGACTCTCAGATCTGCCATATGCCTGTGTCTAAGAAATACATCATGTTAAGTTTATAATAAACATTACTGAGGAATGGGATTCATGGGTATTACCCTCAGAGTGAAAGATTTCTTGTTTATTTCTGTTTATTGTTACTGCTTTTGCTAATAATTTTCTTCTGTAACTATCTCAGTAATTTATCTAAAAAGCCTTATCTTCTCTCAATGTGGGTCACAATTGGATTTTTTATTCATGTTTATAGCAGATTGTCAGTGCTGAAATGAGTCTTGTTTAGGTGGTTCCAGATGGTTAATTCCTTTATATTTGCAAAATGTTGTGACTATTTTATAAGAAGTTTTTTTGTTTTTTTTTTGAGTTTGAGTACTGAAATGTGGAGGAAAGAAACATTAGAATTTAGAGGGATACTAAGCCCAAAAACAAACACACAAAGAAAAAACAAAACAAAACAAAAATATCTCAGAAATCCACATTATGATTCAGCGTGTTCATGGGGAGATGTGTAGTAAGAATTTGCATTTTCTGTACACAAACAAAGCCCATCTTAAAGAATCTGATTTTCTTTATTAAAATGGCAGAGTATTTATGCCAGTAATTCCATCATATTACTTTATACTAAAAGTGCTTAATAAGTATTAGCATAGATCATATATCTCAAAACTTTGTTTCTAATGGCATGATAAATCATATAAGCCAACTTCTTTATTTTATAGATAAGGAAATTGGGCTTAAATGGGTGAAATTATTTGCTGAATACATGGATATCAGAGTGACATTCTTAAAACTTGTTACCCAAGTTTCTCAGCAACCAGTCAGGTAAAGAGGGTTCCTGATTTATAATAGTTCAATGTAGGATATTTCAACTGTAGAATAATGTAAGTGTTCTGAGAACCTTAAGGTAAGCAAGGCTAAGCTATGTTTTGTGAATTAGATGTATTAAACACACTTTGTCTCAACAATATTTTAAATTTATGAGGTTTATCGACATGTAACCCCTTCATAAGTCTAGGAGCATCTGTATATATTAACTAGTTGCTGTATATATTACAGTATTAAAAATGAATGAGGCCAGGCATGGTGGCTCATGTCTGTAATCTCAGTGTTTTGAGAGGCCAAGCCAGGTTGATTGCTTGAGGGCCAGGAGTTTGAGACCAGCCTGGGCAACATAGCAAGAATCTTTTGTCTTCTGATTAGCATATGGTAACCTAATCTTTGATAAAGCAGACAAAAATATACATTGGGGAAAAGAATCTCTCTTCAATAAAGAGAAAACTGGGAAAACTGGATAGCTACATGCAGAAGAATGAAAAAGGATCCCTATCTCTCACTTCTCACAATACACTCAAGATGGATAACAGACAAACCTAAGGCATGAAACCTTAAGAATCCTAGAAGAAGATGTTGGGAAAACCCTTTCAGAGATTGACCTAGGCAAAGAATTCTTGAAGAAGACCCCCAAAACAATCAGCCACAGCAAAAAAATAATCAAATGGGATCTGATCAAATTAAAAAGCTTCTGCACAACCAAGGAAACTATCATTAGAGCAAATAAACAACCTACAGAATGGGAGAAAAATATTTGTGTTCTACACTTCTGATAAAGGTCCAATAACAAGAATCTATCTAGAACTCAAAAGAATTAGCAAGAAAAAAATCAAACAACCCCATCAGGAAATAAATGGGCAACAGAAATGAACAGAAACTTTTCTAAAGAAGACAGAATAATGGCCTGCAAACATATAAAAAAAAAATACTCAACATCTCTAATCATTAGAGAAATGCAAATCAGAACCACAATGAGATATCACCTAACCTTAGTGAGATTGGCCTATATCAAGAAATCCCAAAACAACAAATGCTGGCAAGGATGTGGAGAGACAGGAACACTCTTACACTATTGGTTGGACTGCAAATTAGTGCAACCTTTGTGGAGAAGAATTTGGAGATACCTCAAAGAGCTTAAAATAGGAATACCATTTGACCTGGCAATAGCATTATTAGGCATCTACCCAAAATAGCATAAGACATTCTATTATAAAGACATCTACACCCCAATGTTTATGGCAGCACAATTCACTATTGCAAGGATGTGGAAACAACCCAAGTGTCCGTCAATTCATGAGTGGATTATTAAAGTTTGGTATATGTTTACAATGGAATATTACTCAATTCTAAGAAATGACAGTGAGCTAGCACCACTTGTCCTGGATTAAGCTTAAGCTCATTATCCAAAGTGAGGTGACACAAGATCAGAAAAATGGGCTTCACATGTACTCGCCATCAAATTGGTACTGATTGATTAACACTATAGTGCTCAAATGGTGGTGGCGTTCACCAGAGATTTGGGGGTTGGAGGGATAGACCCACATCTTAGGGATGTGGTGAGCATTGTGGAGGGGAAGGGCATACCTCTAACCCTTACTAGGGAGAGGCGAAGATAAAAATGTAACCAAAATGTTAAAAAAAAAGCAACAACAGAAAACATCCGGTGTCGGGCAGGTGGAGGGGGGAGGAGGTGATGGGTATAGACATACATAATGAGTATGATGCGCACCATCTGGGGCATGGACAGGCTTGAAGCTCTGAGTTGAGGGGGGAGGGGAGAGAAGGACAATATATATAATGTTAACATTTGTACCCCCATAATATGCTGAAATAAAAAAAAAGAAAAGAAAGAGTTTTAGAACATAAAAAAAAAAAAAGAAGAATCTGGAAGCAGCTCGGTTAGTAAGCTAGGCTCAGGGTTTCTCATGAGGTTAGAGTCAAATGTCAGCTGAATTTTGATTAGCTAAAGGCTTGACCAGATTTGGAAGATCCCCTTCCAAAGTGACTTAATCATGTTTGATAAGTTGTTATTGGAAAATCACCCTCTCTCCATGCATTCTTCTAAGTGGAGATACTCTAGTAGTGCTCTTTTAACATGGAAGCTAATTTCCCCCAGAGTAAGCTACCTAAGAGACCAAGGTAAAAGTTGCAATATTTTTAATGTCTTTGTCTTGGAAGTCATACTTAATGACGTCAGCCATAATTTTTTGGTCATGTCAGTGATGGTGATTCAACGTGTGAGGGACTCCATCCAAAAAGCCAGGGAGAACAAGAGGCAAAGATCATAGGGGCCATCTTAGAAGCTGGATATTACAATTCTCTTGAAAATTTACACGTTAGCTGTATTTTTTTATGTTAATTGTATTCATGTGGACAATATTGTACATGTTTCCTTGTATATGCATGTAATAATTTTTCTTGGAAATATACCTTGGAATAAGATTGCTGGATCATAGAGAGGATGTCTACTTAACCTTATATGATAATGCTAATGTGTTTTTAAGAATGGTTATATAACCATTACTAGATTAACCACAGAAGAGTTTATTGCAATTTGTTGATATGTACCATGGAGAAAAGATGATAGAATCAAATGTAAGTTTCACCTTACTGAATGGCACCCCAAATGTTTAAACATCTTCAGAGAGCCAGATGTAGTCCAGTATGTATTAGGTCTGTGAGAAAGGAGCTATGAGTCCCAAGTGTGGTGAGTCTCAGCAGTGAATACAGACTATATCAGATTATAGTCTGATATAGACTATATCGACTATATCGACTATAGTCTGATATAATCCATATAAGAATTCTGTACAGTACTGTTAGTACAATACTGTACAGAATTCTTTAAAAAACTAACAAGAATTCTGTACAGTACTGTTAGTTCAGATCCTCTTCAAAACTTGGGGTTGTTGTTCTTCTTTCTTTATGCCAAGCAAATGTGCATTTCAGAATGTGTAAGATTAAAGATAAATGAAGACTAAAAATAAAATAAGATCCTGGACTGGATCTTTAACTAGAAGAGGAAGAATTTTTCTATTAATGATATTAATGAAAGGAATTTTAGCATTCTTAAATTAAACTGTAACAATTTGTTAAATTGTTGACATTAGTTATCTAGAAATCAAAACACATTTCTCCCCTGAACTGTATAGAAAATACTGACATATTTTTTGTTATCCCACTGTCTCTTTTAAAAATTACATGTCATTAACATTATCAGTTTATCATGCCTATAATTATAATATTGTGACATATTCTGGCTTCTGAAATAATATAGGTCATATTTTGTATTTCACTGTTCGAATTCAAGTCTTAGCGATGAAAGTTTTAGTGAAATGCTCTAGATTCTCTTAGGGTGGATTAATTTTAGATCAAGTTCTACATTTCAAATGCCACATCCTTTGGCTTGCTAAATTTAAGCCAGAGTGACATAATCTGATATAGTCTGTATTCACTGCTGAGACTCACCACACTTGGGACTCATAGCTCCTTTCTCACAGACCTAATACATGCTGGACTACATCTGGCTCTCTGAAGATGTTTAAACATTTGGGGTGCCATTCAGTAAGGTGAAACTTACATTTGATTCTATCATCTTTTCTCCATGGTGCATATCAACAAATTGCAATAAACTCTTCTGTGGTTAATCTAGTAATTACTCAGCAATTTGATATTTAATTGATTTCAGCAAAATAAAGAGGATAGCCATTTTTACTTTTTAGACATTTTGTTTGGAAAGTAAACTAAAAAGCATGAAACAAGCCTCAATCCACCACATTTATAATTCTATAAAATAAGAATTCACAGCTTACATTTTTTTCCTGTAGTCCTGCCATGCATTATTTTTAAATGCTTCCATTTTAATAGATATTCCATAATGATATTACTGTATACCTATAATAATGTTTCTGTTTTTCCATCATGGGCTTATTTAGCATGGGAATGTCCATATGCAAGAGTCCACCTTCCTCTTTCTCCTACCTCTCAGTCATGTTTTTTTTTTACATGTTGAAATTATATTTGCCTCTATTTTCTCCTATATTACAATCGAACTTTCTGTTTGTGCTTACCTGTGCTCTTCCATTTTATGTGTCACTTCCTTTAAAACTCAGTAACCACTGATTGCAAAATTTTTACCTATTGGACAATCAACTTTCCTCCATTTTTTGGAAAGTGACTTAAAATCTTCTTCACCTGGACTTTTGTATATAATTAAATGCAATCCACACTTACTTCTCTGTTGAATTCTGAGTACTCTTATTCTTAACATATGCTTTGTTACATACTTAAGTTGTTTGATACTGTTTGTGAGTGATTAATTATAATTAATATAAAGAAAGAGCCAGTATCTTTCATATATCTTCCCTCATGATCTCAATGTCCCCCTCTGCTACACACACACACCGTTAGGTCTACTATTTTGCATACTGTCCTACACAGTAGAGGGATATAGAAAAATAATTAGATAAGCAAATAATTCTGTGTGATAGGTAGTAGGTGATTTTTTCCTATGTATAAACATTCACGGAACCATAAATCTCCAATTGTTCTACATTACGACTTAGAAGAAGCAGCTGACTTACTGAATGATTTTTGTTCTGTACTCTACAGTTTAGACACTTGCTACTCAAAGGGTGGTCTAGAAACAGCTAAATCAGAATTGCATTTCAACAAAATATCCAGATGATTCACATACACAGTAATGTTTGGAAAGCATGTGACCCTGTGAAGTAATAAGTTAAAGTCCATCACCCTCTTTGTGCATTTATTTTTTTTAGTGAAATTATCTTCATACTTTAGTATACTGCAATTGTGAATAATTTGCTTACATATTTGAATACATTCTATATAAGCATTTTTTCTTTCATGTGGTGTTTCAGTCAAAGCCATTACAATAATTTTCTTAGATTGTGAGAATTAGACCTTCAAAGGCCCTTAATATAACTAGTATGTATATGTAAGGCAATTAAATGAGTACTTAGTAAGTAGTCAGTTGGTTAAAGAAGCAATTAGGAAACAAAACAGCAAGGGTAATAAGAGATTATGGAACCTTTTGAAAGGATGATAATACTTGTTCATGTTGACTTAAATAAATTATCTTCATGCTAGTGAGGATCCTTGGTTCAATTAATGATATTTCAAGCTAGTGAGTTCTTAAAAACTTTGAGCAAAGTGATAGCTAGAGTGACCCAAAGCACATGGAAGTGATGAGGACTTCTAAGACAATGGGGAATAATCATATATTATTCATTTAATTCAGGTACCCTTTTAAAGACTTGTCCAAATACCACAAGGGTTGATAAAAAACTTATTTTTATCACGAGGGAGAAGGTATAAAGGCAATGCATGTGGATACCATTCCAATTGATTTGTTTTCTAGTAGGGGACACAGGCATAAACAACCCTTAAGCCTAACTGAAGGATGTATGCATTAAATTTTAAATGGTGGTAGCATGTTGTGAGGCGTGTTAGTCAAGGTTTTCCAAAGAAACAAAATCAATAGCATATGTGTATGTAAAAAGATTTATTTTAAGAAATTGGCCATTGCAATTATGGTGGCAGGCAAGTCCAAAATCTGCAGAGTGGGTTGATAGGCCGGAGTTTAGGGAATAGACAATGTTGTACTTCATGTCTGAATGCCATCAGGCTATAGAATTCTCTCTTGCTCAGGAAAATTCAGTCTTTTGTTCTATTTAGTCCTTGAACTGATTAGATGAGGCCTATCCACATTTTGGAGGGCAATCTGCTTTCCTTAAAGTCCACTGATTTATATGTTAATATCAACTCACAAAAACATTCAGAATAATGTTTGACCATATATATGGGCCTAGTGGCCCAGCTAAGTTGACACATAAAATTAAACATCACAGGGTGGTAGAGATGAAGGTGTTTTCTCCTCTGACAGATTATAGATGACTTCAGGAAGGCTGTGGACTTTCAATTCAGAATGTAATAATGAGAAAAGTAAGAAAACAAGGATGGAGGCATTCTACCTTGAGAGATACAATGTAGCTAATAAAAGCATGGAGTCAGGCAAGTATTTGCAGGATGAGAGGTTGTGAGTGGACCATAGCAGGAGGTTTGGAGAGGCACACATTAGAAAATAAGCCTAGAGCCAACTTGAAGCCTGATTACAAGGGTCTGTGAAAATCATGTGAAAAAAAATTGACTACATGAGACTTTTAGAAAGAGGGGTGATCCTACATGAGTTTCAGAAGACTCATTCTGTGTGCATTATGAGAGGTAGAGGTTGAAGTAGATGAGAAAAGGGAGGGGGATCAGCAGGTTAGGATATAATGGCAATAGTCCAAGTAAAATAAAATGAAGTTCTGAATAAGAACAACAGTAAGAGGCATGAAAGATAACAAGGATATATGGAGGTAATAAAAGACAACTCTTAGATTTTGATGGTATGTGGAGATATCATGGTGAATTACAAGGAGATTGCATTCAAGATCCTGTATTCCTGACTGGAAATGAGAATTGGTTTTCAATCAGTTCTTCCTTTAAATTTATGCAAACTATATGGACATTAAAAATAAAACAACGACAATAACAAAACATTCTTTCAGTTTGTTGAGCCAGCTGTTTATGCTAACCTGTAAAATATGATTGTTTCTGCAGACTGATTAGCAGAAATATTATCTCTGAAAATAAAGTATTATGGCTCACCAGGGCCATGATATTTTTGTCTTGGTTACAATCAGAGAAGCAGTAATCTAGGAGAGAGACATCAACATTCAGTTGTCCATTTCAACTAATATTGAAAATATTAAAGTTATCTGAAAATTATTTAAAATTAATATTAAATCTCACTTTTCTTTAATCTCCCCCTACTTCTCTTCTTGCCTTGGTTTCAGATTTTAGAAAAATTGAGGCAATTCTGTGTGGAGTGTTTTTCTACATTCTTATGTAAGGGGCTTTGCTAACTTCCTTATGGGGAGAGAAGGAGGACCTCACCATGTCAGCCTTACAGCTTTGAGTGGTTAATATTACTTTTCTCTTTTTGCTCAGAGGCTGAAAGGATACATTTCACTGTTGACAATGTAAAGGAAGATTGAAAATAATTTGATTTGTATTGCTGTGTCTCTTCTAAAGACTCCTTATGTCACAGTGAAAGAGCACAAACCTTTCTGAGAACGGGAACTCAGAATGGAAGGAAGGAGGTGGCCAGAAGAGTTTGAAATGTTGATCATATGGCTCAACTTTTCCCATCTGGATATGTGGAAAACCCAAGAGCAGAACAAAATAATTTTGTTGTTTTTCTTTTTTTGTTTTATGTTCAAGGCTGGGCTATAGAGGGCAAATAGGGATCAATATTATACTTGAAAATTTGTGAAGGGAAATGTACAAGAATTTAGGACTTTGTAAGAACTTAAGGCACATTGAAATTTTTTTTAACATATTAAGAGTCATATGTGTTTCTTTTTAGTAAAAATGGCTGAAAATTTTATGCAAACATTTATATTCCATAGAACTTTTTAAACAATGCTTATAGTTTATTGTAGATGCTCCTCGTGGTAGGATGGGGTTATATCTCTATAAGTCCATAGTCAATTGAAAATATTGTAAGTTGAAGTGCATTTAATACACCTAGCATACAAAATCATTGCTTAGTTAAGCTTACTTAAATGTGTTCATAACACTTTCATTAACCTATAGTTGGGTAAAATCATCTAACATAAAGCCTGTTTTATATAAAGTGTTGAGTATCTCAGGTAATTTTTTGAATACTGTACCAAAAGTAAAAAACAGATGGGTTGTGTGGGTATTTAAAGTATAGTTTCTACTGAACACATATTGCTTTCACACCATTGTAAAGTTGAAAAATCATAAATCAAACCATCACAAATTGGAGACAGTCAGTATATAAAATCAAACTCATATCTGTTGTGTTAACATATCCCCAGCTATGATGATATATAAAATCAAACTCATATAATATCTGTTGTGTTAACATATCTCCAGCTATGATGATAATATTTTTGTTGAAATTGAAATATATGATTCAAATTGCATGTGAATTTTCCTAGAAAAAATAACTTTTCACTATGTAGTGTTCTAATGGAAAGAATTCATCTTTATTATATCTTCAACTCAAAATACGTTGCATAGATACTGTCTTGAATTATTCAGTATTACATTATAATGTTTCTCACCTCAACATGATTATGTACTCTTTGTAGGTATGTGTCATACCTTGTCTATATTTTGTGACTTTCATGGCACAGATACAAAGAAAACTAGAATTAGAAAAGTAGAATCTTTATTTTATAGATGAGAAAATTAATGATAATGTCTACTTTGTAGGACACTGAGCTCAGTGGCAGCTCATACCTTGTCCAAGTCATACAGCAATTAAACCTTGGTCTCACTGGTCCAAAATGCACACTCATTTTTCATTTATACCACAGTTAATTATGAGTCAACTTAATTTAGAAGTGCTTATTACATCAATAGGAAATAGAGAGCAGATTGCATCTAGGCTGTCATGGGGATAAGTTATTTTATGTCTAAATGATTTTGTAGGTATATATGATTTGGGGATATCCTATGGACATTTAATTTTGTTGAATACTTTTCTGATCTCCCATTCATTAAATTGTCTTCTTCTTATCTCATGCTCCCCTTATCTTTTACTAGTCTCAGGGAAAGAGATATTGCTCCTTCTTATCAAGTACACCACCTATTAATATTTGCGATTTAATTACCCCTTCCTCCTTTCCCTTTGCACTGACTCCTTTTCCTCAGGTACTTAATTCTGTTCCCTTATAAAAACTCTCTCATGGTTTTTATTTGCCCCAAATCGTTACATCATACCATATATTCCATCATCAGAAACCCTAACTTTCAGGTTCATCTTAACCTCTTCCCTCTGTTTTTGTTTATTTGTTTTGGCTGAAAACACCATGCTATTGAGTGTACTTGTCTTCCTGTAAAAGCTGTTTCTCTTCCTGGAAACCTCATCTGCCAGCCTGGCAAATTCTATTTATTCATCAAGGCTTCAATCAGTTGTTAGCTCATTTATTTAAAAAAAAAAATCCAGTTTATCCAGTTTCGATGACTTGCCTTGATTCCGTGGGTGCATCAGGCACATACTCATTTCCTTCTCCCTTTAAGATGACACTTTTTTGCATTTTATTAATAGCATTAATTTATGAATCTGTCTTAGCCATAGAATTACGAGTTTTTTCTGGTAAATACCATGTCTTATTCTTTATTCTAACAGGACTTCCTGGCATAGAATACAGGCTCAATGAAAGTTTTCTAAATGAATGAATACATAATGGACACATCTGTGCTTTCAGTGGCTATCTGTGCTCCAGTGAATAACTAGAGACAATAAGTTTAGGGACATTGCTTTACTGAGGTTGTAGGGAAGGCTGAGTCACAGGAACATGGCAGAAACAATGAGACCTTGGCCATTGTACCAGAGTTGAACTCTTAGATATTTAGCACATGCATACACTTTTCTGGTCATTTTACATATATTTTTATTTCTGTTTTGTTTTGAAAATAGGTTAAAGCTCCAGGAAATTTAAAAGAGTAGTACAATAGCCACTCTTTATCCATGATCAACATTTTGGCAGATTTGCTGTTGAGGAATCATTTAAAGGTAAGCTGCACACATCATGGCTCTTCATCACTAGATATTTTAATATATATCTTAAAAAAATCAGCATCCTCTTACACATTAGCAACATGTTTATCATTCACCAATATGTAGCATTATCTCAATTATATAATTATTATCTAAATATTATCTAATTTTTAGTCCATATTCAAATTTTTCTAATTGTTTTTATTTGGTCCCAGGTATAATCCAGGTGTAAACATTTCATTTGTTTATTTGTTTATAGTGTTCTTTAATATACAGCAATGACCCCCTGACACCAACCATGTCTGTCTCTCTTGTCATTGACATTTTTGATGAAGTCAAGCCAGTTGACTTGTAAAATATCCCATATATGTATGTAGGTTACAGTTTCCTCGAATGCAGCATCATATTAGATTTATTTTGGCACGAATACTATGTAGGTGATGGTTTGCACTTATTTTTGCATCATCTCAAGGCATATTACGTCCATTTATTTAGTAATTGAACAAGCTATGTGATCACTCGATTAATCTATTGACCATTATATTCTTTCATTCTGAGAATATGCATTTTCTTCTGCAATTAAAGAAGTAATTTCTTGGGTAATACTTTAAGATTTTATATCAGTCTTTTATCACAATAATCTATTAGGTTCTTTCTCTGTGTTAATCGGGGATTTCCAAATGGTGATTTCAAAATTTCTAGTATTATATCTACATTCATTGTATCAGACATTTTTGTGAGAATAAGTGCTTTTTTATTATTAAAAAAATCTCAATCTTTTTGGGTATGGGGAATCCTTCAAAGTGGCTTCTTTTTCCTTTTTGATATGTTCTCATTAGTCTTTAAGCATTTACTTTCCCACAGAACAAAATGTTGTTCTTATACTTTCCCTGCCAAGTGTGGCGTTAGCCATTTCTCCAAGGACCCTAAATAGGGAATAGCATTAGGAACTACCATCTGAGCAATAGGTGTACTCATTGCTACCTGGATGTCATTTCTTCTTTGAAGTTATTTTTACCCTTAGAGTGTATGTATGTCAGTGTGGCATCCACATAAATTTGGCGTTTACTCACACCATCAGCTTTCACCTGAGAAAAACTTTCCATTACATCATTCAGTCTACTGAAAAACGTGTTGGAATAAGATTCCTATGACAGGTTAAAGACATTGGCACAGTTCTGACTCTATGCAGATGGAAAGACAGTTTCTTCAAGGCAACCTACTAATGGGCAATCTAGCCCTTGTGAGTTAGAAATGTATCTAGATTAGAAACATCTAAGATTCATCATAAGAGTATCTGTAGGGAGATCAAAATAAGACATAATAGCATTATATTGGAGTTTTTGAAGAATTGTTTTGTTTTTCACCAATATAAAAATGTAGAGTAAATATTTAAGCATCTTTCATGAGCAAGCCAGCATTATTTTAAATACCAATATGGTATATCAACTGGGAGTATTTTAGCATGATATCTAAGGATCTTCCACATACTTTTTAGAAATTAGCTTTGTTAGAGTGACTTTTTGTGAATTCTTAAATCTTTTTCCAGCTGACCACAATTCATGTAATTATGTATTTGAATTAGTGAAGACCATGAAAGCACTGTGACAGAATAATTATCTTTAATTATACTAATTACATTAATGGATAAAAATTGATGATTAGGGCATTACTCTGTGAAAATAATAGCTTTCTATTAATGATTGGATCATCTTGAAACTTATCTTCTCAGCTTTTCCACCTCTTCTGACCTACATTTGACATCCAACAGTTTAAGAAAACTTTGAACCTTACATTCCCTTGAATATGCCCTCACTTTCTGAGTCTTTTCCCAATTAACTAAGATTGTTCAGGTTGCCAGATCTAGCAAATAAGAAAACAAGACTCTCAGATAAATTTGAATTTCAGATGAATAATGAGTAAGTTTTTTAGTATCATATAAGTAGGTCCCAGATATTGCAACATTAGAGATGATTTCTATAAAGAAATATACTAAATAACTGTAAATTGGATATGTGTTTTTTTTTTTTTTTTTTTTGAGACAGAGTCTCACTTTGTTGCACAGGCTAGAGTGAGTGCCGTGGCGTCAGCCTAGCTCACAGCAACCCCTTCAAACACTTCTGGGCTCAAGCAATCCTTCTGCCTCAGCCTCCAAGTAGCTGGGACTACAGGCATGTGCACACGCCGGCTAATTTTATATATATATATTAGTTGGCCAATTAATTTCTTTCTATTTATAGTAGAGACGGGGTCTTGCTCTTGCTCAGGCTGGTTTCGAACTCCTGACCTCGAGCAATCCGCCCGCCTCGGCCTCCCAGAGTGCTAGGATTACAGGCTTGAGCCACCGCGCCCGGCCGGATATGTGTTTTTATAGGATATATGACTACTGTTCTGTCCACACAATATAGGAAGAGTTGTCAGGATTTTACTGAAATTTGAATTAGCCACAGAGATAAATTTTTAGTGTTTCACTTTAAACTGTAAAAAATAAGTTGCCAATCATACACTACAAAGTTAAATGAGGGTTATGTGTCAGTTTTTGTTATAAAATGCAAGCATAAAATTTTTGTTAAATTGTAAATTTCAGTTTATCTCTCTGTTAAGGCAGGCAGACATATTATTTTCAGAATATATATTTTCCCCTTATCTGATTTTCAAAGGAGGGTGGGCATTTTCACGATTATCATTGATTAACAACAATTGAAATTCTGACAAGTCTTCATCAAACAGCAATTCTTCTATCATTTTATTAACTGACAGCGTCCATAAATTATTTATTAAAGAGTGTTGTGTTGATTTTCTTTTTTATTTACTTACTGGGTGTTAAAAATATGTAGAGATTTATTCCTCATTGTACTTTGTTTATTTAGTAAAAGTAAAAAGTCACAGGCAATATCCTGATTTCTGGGCATAAGAATCAATCATTTGCATAATGGGGTATGAAACCCTGAAATACAAAACTATGAAATCCTTGCTCAATTTGAGAGTAGTTATGTTTGTCATAGAGAGAGAAGTTTAATTGGGCACATTGTGCATCAGAATATACTTTAGACTCTGTTGTTAATATTTTCCATACAAAAATGTTTATAATTATTCATTTTAAAGTAAAAAAGAAATTTCTCCCAGAGCCAAGTTTTAATAATACTGTGCTCTGTTGATCCTGGGACCTGGGCCACATTGTAGGTTTCCACCTTTTCCTCTTTTTAAAATAGCCCTGAAGTAGTTGAATGGATGTACCCTTAGAGATATTCACTGATGCAAGTTTAACATATTGACTGCCACACTAGAATTTTTTTCCCCTTGGAACTACAGTATTTTATTATGAAAATAGAATAAAAACTTCAAAAATAAAATGATGCTTTCTAATTTAATGAAAAATCTGTTATTTTTTATTGTTTTCTATGTGTGAGTTATGCAACTTGAAAAACAATTCACGTGGCTCCCAAGGTGAAGAAACATGTGAATTACATATGCTTCATGAGGCCTCATGCTCAAAACTAGCGTGAGTTAAATACAACTCACATGTAGTTAATGTGTTAAATATTGTGATGTACTTTATCAAGGAGAGCTGATACACTTCCAAAGCTGTCACAGCTGGCTAACTCTAGTCCAATTCATAAGGGATTAATTGGCCATGGGTGCTTGTGAGCAGAAATACTGTCACTGCAGCTGTAGATCTGTCACTTTGATACACAAGGTAATCAAGTCCAGTAATAGATTCTCTATGAATGTTAATAGCTTTCCTGAGCAAGAAATCATTAGGGGCTGTTTTCTCCATGTCATGTGGAAGAACATAGTCTGGGCTTTCAGTTAAAGATCATTTGATATTTTGTGGAAGAAACTTACTTTCCAAAACTGCTGAAATATCAAATGTATTGTGGGTAAGTTTTGAGATTGCCTACAGAGGAAAATGAAGCTTTAAGAATTAAAGCCAAGAAAACAACCACAAACTTAATAATAAAAGTAAAATAGAAAAACTATAACTTTTTCTAGTCACTTTTTTACAAATTTTTGTAAAGGTTGAAACAATTAAAAAAATAAGTAAAAAGTAAATGTTTACTTTTACTTGTCTTCAGTTTTCTTCCCATAGATATAACCTAGTTTTGCTGATATGAAAACATTCCATAGCATTTACTATTCATTTACATATAGAGTTATATACATGTACACATGCAAATAAAGTTTTATATTTTTATATGAATAGGATTATAGTATACTTTTTAGCAGCTTCTTGGGGCTGTCAGTATTTATAAATATATTGCTTCTAACAGCTGCATAATATTCCTGATACAGGTGCACTTTACTTATTTAAATATTAATTGAATTTTGACTGTAAAGAATTTTCTAAGAAATTAAGAAAACGAGAAGTAAATTATTTAATTTTAATGTTATTTGAAATACTATTTGACTCTGCACCAATCACATATTTTTCTATGCAAGGCAAAACTTAACACCTACAACAGTGTCCAATATACAAGGCATTGAATTTTTAATATTGAATTTCGCACTTTGATTGGTGTCCCAGATTTCTCAGGAATGATTAAACTTCTAATTAGACACCAGTTGAGAATATTTCCCTATAACTTCTGTCTCTAACAGTAATTATCCCTATGCTACAGAATTATTGGAGGAGAAGGGAGAATGATGAAATTATAAATTCATCAGACAAGAAACTGACTTGGCTAAAAAAGAAATTTCAGCATTAACAGAATTGAGGAACATCTGCAATCCTAAAGTGCAGGGCAAAGAATTCTAGAGATAAAGTACCATGGGTGGTGCCTTTGCCTTTGTATGCACCATCCAGAAAGAACTTAATAGTAGATCTTGATATGAATTCTGCATACTGGATTTGTATGCCAGTTGAAAGACTAAACATGTTTCTGAACAGCTTGCATATCTCAATATGTGCACAGAGAGATAAATACCATTGTCCTTTACCAGCTATGCAAGTAAAAATATAGTTACAATAAATAATCATATAGAAAAAATTTTAAAAAGCTACTGGAAATGGGCAT